GACACATATGAAAACGGAGTTCATTTGAGTGTAAGTGTGTTGCTGTTGGAATAGCGCTTGCATCGCTCCTGATAGTTTAAAACAGTGCCCTATGGAAAGTTTAGTATACCATGTAGTATGGAGTCTTACCTACGCAGAGTCTCATTACCCTTAATCTAATATTTTTTCTAATAATTAAAAAAGTCAGAACACTTCCACGTATCATATTGTACAACTTATTTTTAGTAGAAATCCACAATTTCATCAGGTGCTTCTGCCTTGACACTCAAAGAGGCATGATATGGCCCAAGCCTGGTGACTCCTTTCTTTTATTTGGCTTTTCTTCCCAGGAATTATGTCTTATTGGTAAAAGGGATATTACAAATGCTATGGGGCCTTATCATGAGTCCAATTTGCTCCTTTCACATAGAAGTTCCAGGCAATTCAGTTGAGGGGTGGTTGTGGATTTGTCCCTTCCCTGCTCTGCAGTCAAGGAGTTTGTTCCTCCTAGTGTTTGGAGTACAATAGTACTGTGTTATTCCTAGGAGTTGATACTACATGGTAGTATGGCTAACTTAGGAGCTTCCCCACTTGCTCACCTGTGTCTGATCTTTAAAGCCTCCATCAGAGGTTAGATGATGTAAAGCAGGGTGTACCTAAGAATATACCTAGCACTGTCTCATGCCATATTCCAAGTGAAATAGCACTCTAGAGGGGTACTCCTCATTGTGCCTGTCTCCTCTTTCCAGCCATGTTTTCCCAGACTCAGTGAGCTCCTGATGTGTAAGGAGGTGGGGATGGGGCGGGGAGGAGCTGCTGCCTTTGTGCAGCCCCACTCCCATGTAGTATGTCTCTTCCAATTTTCAGCTGTTTCTGTGCTGTCTAAGCTGAGAGGACATGGGCATCATTTGGCCCACTGGGTATTTCCTGCTAGAATCCTTTCTTTACTTCCTACCTACCACCACTTAAAAGTTCTTAACGATTCCTTCTCCTAAACAAGGTTTCTAGGAAGCGTTTTGCTCCCAGTGCCTTTCCATATTTTGTACACACCTAACAAAACAATTCAAGGTCAAAACGCTGCATAGAGAGGATATGAGGTCCATTGAGTATGAGCACACAGCAGATCACCTTAGCATTAATGTACTGGCAATTTATAAGGTATGTCTGTCCAATGAACAAATATTTCCTCAATCTGGCTTTTAATGAGGGTTGATTGTAGCTACTTTGTAGATACAAAGGAAGGCACAGAAACTATTATAAATCTATTGTAGCTGTGTGAGAAAATACTCACTAAAACTTTGGTTGTTTTTACAAGTTAAAAATCAATGTAAATATAGTGTTAATTATCTTAAGTGTTTTTAATTAGGGAGATTTTTGATTTGGCACTTTGGAATGGAGAACAGTTTATATTTTTCTTGTTTATAACCTGTAAGATTATGTTTAGACAAATCCTTGTGAGGTTTTTTTCCCCACCCCTATATACATATCTACATCAGACTCCTAAAGCAGGAAGCCATTATCACAACATTAACACTGTACAGAGTGATTCCTGATGAGACACTGAGTGTTGGGAGAAGGGGAAGAACTACAACAGCAAAATTGCAGGCAACTGAAGTAGGATTGTAGAGTTCACCCCAGCAGTTAAAAAGAGGAAGAAAAAAAAAAGAAAGAAAAGAAAGCCCCCACCAAAGTCTGCAGTCCTAAAGTGCAATTACTTGTGTGCAGTCACGTCAGGGATCAAACTGGATGAAGTTCAAAGCAGAAACATCAAACAAGTGCTGTTCATGATTCAAGGAGGGGAAAAAAGGAAAAGAACAACAGTTCTCAGGCATTCAAGTGCATCAAGAAAATAAATGTCCTCTTCTTTCTAAAAAGAAAAACCCTCAGTCATAAGGAATCTTGGCTTTGTAGTCATGAAAAATAATTTTTTTGCTTCTAGCTAAGAATGTTCCAATGTGACACAGTATAAATAAACAGCGTCAGTGTAAGGACGAATACACTGGTATCCTTTTTAGTTGTCCCATTGCTGTACTGGCCTACTTTATTCTCCTCTGGTGACTCTTCAGATCTTGGCACTGATGAGGCACACTGAATTAATGGCATCTGATAAGAAGTAGCTCTCTTTTCTGGTCTGTCTGGACTAGATCCATCACTAGGTCTCTGGCCATTATAGAGTAAGTATCGACCCCTGGCATCCTGCTCCATTTTGAAGATTTCATACTCCGTGTGAGGTAGACGGATCCCCAAGGCAACACAGCCATTTGTGTGAGTAACATCCTGTTGGACTCCAACTTGCCATGATCCCTGTGCTCCGCACTCATTCCCATTAAAGACATTCAGTAAAGAGGCAGTAGCTATATCCATGGGTGTGACCTTCATGTGATTAACTGTAAGTGAAGAAAAAGAAGAAATTATCTCTGAGGGACAAAACAAAAGCAAAAACAAGTCCTATTATGTCACAGCACTGACTTCAGAAGATCAATGCTTTCTTCTCCTGTCATTTCTGTATCTGATCCAGTGGCCAGAGGGAGGTCTGTGGGATGTCCTACAGACTTCAATAGGCTTTGGATCAGGCCTTTTTATCGGTATTAATCAGAAGTAAGCTCTCATGAAGTCACTAAGTTATGTGGCAACAGAGGCATAGCAGGACAGCTCTGTGGCTGGGGCAACCATAGTGCATAGGGCAGAACCAGCTGCTGTGTGCAACATGATCAGTTGCTGCTGTGGCTATAGCTATTTTTCTGCCCTACCACCTCCCTGTCAGTTATGCTACTGCATGGCAATAAAACAGAAATGGGTAAGAAGAGTTCCTTTAACTGATTTAAGACTGATTTTTAATTTTACCATTGTGAATTCTGGCAACTCTAATGTTGAGTTTTGTTTCCTTTCATCTCTGTATCGAATTCTGTACTGCATATTTAGCCAGCAAATCCACTGCTTTTGGTTCATTTCTTGCATGTAGTTTGCCATCAAAAAGATTGATGTCCACCTATCTGTCAGAGATTAAACAGGCCAGTTTTCTAAATCCCAGACAATTCTCTACAGATAAAACCTGGTTGATTTAGATGGGAAGATAGATGGCAGCGAATACAATAATCCGTCACTCACATTTTATTGAAAACTTAGTCCATGAACAGAGCTATTTATAAAGTACTTTTATCTTCCTTTTAACATAAATTACCCCAAAAAGCTTATGACATCACATTCTAAATGGAAACCCGAAACCTTAAACAGTGCAACAGTCTCACCATCTTCATAATTTCCATAGTTTTATCTGCTTTTTTAAGGACTGAAAAATAGAGGAACACTTTATTGCATGTCCTAACAATAACTGCAATTAATAATGTCAGGTAAGAATGTCTCACAACTTTCTCCTATTCTAGCTAGCCTGACTACATTTAACTTGTATTTAAGTCATCAACCCAGTTGCACCAGAAAAGCCTGAACAAATGGCCCTAGGGGAACTTAAATGAAATTTACCCTAACTTTGGATTTGGACCAATATGTACACATACACGCACACACACATGTGCATGCACATACACATGCATGCACACACATACATGTCTCAGGGTTTTCAGTGAATCAACACTAACAAACTTTACCAACAAACAAATAAAACAAAACAAGAAAAACATTTCTTTTTGAGATTTTCTAACTATGATGGTCTTTGGCTTGTTTCACATGTGGTTTCCTTGGTACTGTTCAAAGATCATTTGAGTAAACTGGCAGTTAGAACTACATTACTAGAGCTGATTTCTCAAACCTTCAGCTGCAGGTTAAACAAAGTATTATAAATGAGCACCTTAGATGAAAACATGGCCCTGTTAAACTTAATGAGGCCAAGATTTCATTCTGGATATTCAGATGTAAGTGACTGTGGCACCACGTGGCAAAGAGGCACAAAAGCTAACAGGCAAGGACCCTGTTGGCTCATTTGAAAACTCCAGTCTAATATATTAGCCATTGCGGTCAGGTTCTTTCCTAAGAGAGTCACAGAGGGGATTCTTACACTTCTCAAATGTACTTTCAGAGTATACTGCCTGGGGCTTTGAATCCTTCCAGATCTCAGGCTAAACAGGCAAGGTCCTAACTAGTGCTCAGTGATTCCTTTGGTCAGTGAGGGCCACCCTTTTTGGCAGGCATGCCATGAGATAAGTACCCCTCTATTCCCTGGGTGCCACTCCAATCCCCTTCACTTGCCTGATCTGTTGCTCTGTTCCCTGCCTTATCCTCCCTGCCCATTCTATTGCTCTGCTTTCTGCTCCTGTGTTTTCTGCTTCCTCCCCGGTCTGCAGCATGACACATAGAGGCTGCCCAAGCCACTTGTGTTGCAGGTTGGCCAAACCTGCCTTAGGTAATGTTGTCAAGAGTTTTAAACAAAGCTGTGGCATGATCCTGGAGAACACCATGTGGAGGAGGTCATCTTCCAGATAAGCTGTTAAAGCTGCTTATGTCTTGTTGATAAAAATTTTGTAATATTCTTAGAAAGAGTAGGGAGTTTTATTAGGACTTCAGGCTATCTTTGGGGTAGGTGCAAAGGGTAGGTGATATCCAAGGGCACTCTTTGGCACTGCCCTTTAGCAAGGAAAGAGACAGGTACAGGGAAATGTATTGCTTTCCTTGTTACAATTCTTTTAATGATACCAAACTTTGGGGTAGAGCATCCACACCTGAGGATAGGCTGGTGATCCAGGCCGACCTAGACAGGCTCAGAAAATGGGCGGATGAAAACCTGACGCCGTTCAACACCAAAAAATGCAAGGTACTCCACCTTGGGGAAAAAAACCCCCACAGCACGCTTACAGGCTCGGCAGTGCTATACTTGCTAGCACCACGGCTGAAAGGGACTTGGGGGTCATGACCACAAGATGAATATGAGCAAGCCACCAATGCTATGTTGTGCCTGGTAAAGTGAGCAAAACTCTGGCTTGCATCCATAGATGCTTCTCAAGCAAATCCAAGGATGTCATCCTCCCGCTGTACTCAGCCTTGGTGAGGCTGCAGCTGGAGTACTGCATCCAATTCTGGGCTCCACAATTCAAAAAGGATGTGGAGAAGCTTGAGAGAGTCCAGAGGAGAGCCATACATATGATCAGAGGGCAAGAGAACAGGCCCTATTAGGAGAGGCTGAGAGCCATGGGACTCTTCGGCCTGGAAAAGCGCAGGCTCAGGTGGGACCTGGTGGCCGCCTATAAATATATAAGGGGTGTACATCAGGATCTGAGGGAATGCCTGTTCACCAGAGCACCCCAAGGGATGACAAGGTCAATCAGTCACAAACTCCTCCAAGACGATTTCAGGCTGGACATAAGGAAGAACTTCTTTACTATCTGAGCTCCCAAGGCCTGGAACAGACGGCCTCCAAAGGTGGTGCAAGCACCTACTCTGAACTCCTTTAAGAAACATTTGGACCTTTATCTTGCTGGGATCCTTTGACCCCAGCTGACTTCCTGCCCCTGGGGCAGGGGGCTGGACTCAATGGTCTTCCAAGGTCCCTTCCAGCCCTAATGTCTATGAAATCTATTAAATGCATTTTATAATGCATTTCTTTGAGGGAAAAGGGAGGATTTATGGATCTGGAGAATATTGATAGCTTCCCTGTGAGAGAGGTACATGTGGACTGGGGAGAGACAGTAAGGGAATGGAGAGGGGACTCCCTTGGATGTGAGGCAGGAGAGTGTGAGTGGGTGCAGATGGGAGGGGGTGTGGGAAAAATATTTCATGAAGTAAGTGAATGGTGGATGGGATGCAAGGCTGGGCTGGGCAGGGGGATCTTCTCCTAAGTGAGGCAGGCGAGTTTGAGGGGGTGGAGAGAGGGTGGATTGCTTTGAATTTGGGGGTAATTTGGGGGAATTTTTGTTTTGTTACACTTTTATTTTAATACTTTATACTGGTTTTAAGATATTTTGTAACCTGGCCTGAACTTTTTTTGAGAGAAGGGCTGTACATAAAGCTAACAAATAGATACTATTAGGTCACTTAGTGACCTAAACTGTTGCATATGTTATTTAGACGTTTCTGTATTCTGTCTCAGAGGTAACTGAATGGTGGGAGATACGATCCTTCTGTAGTTTGCATGTCTATTTGTTGGGGAAGTCCACAACGCTGTATGACTGTCATACCATTGAAGTAACAGCTTTCACAGACTTACGGACAAATGGCCTTCTGATGAGTTACTGAGTAAAATGGCCTGTTAGGGGCACATACCTTTGAACACAAACTCTGTTCCACCCATAACTTTGGAAGAGTGCACTCCTCTGCTGTAGCGGCCCTTGGCATAGATAGTGAAGGTGGGGTGTTTGCAGATAGGGTCAGAGTAGTGATAGTAGTGACCTTCCCAGGTGTTGTTGTTGTCATGGAAGATGAAGTGCCTGGTGAGAAAGAGGACCTCAGGGCGCACCTCACAGCGCTGGCTCACCCATTGTCCATGCAGTCCAATTGTCAAATCAGCCTTTGGGGGTAAGATAGGAGGATGGTGCTCATCTGACCGATAGATGATTCTACATGCAATACAAGTATGATCATGATTCTGAAAGACAGAGGAAACACTGTTAGCTGTTAGTTAGTCATTCTCCTTACTAAAGACCATACTGCTTGTTTTGTACTGAGATAAAATCAGTTTAGTCTTTAAGCATTTAAATGCACGGGCATATTTAGGCTACGCTTTATTGCAGGTTGTCTACTTCAAAGTAGTTACTTGAAATATGGCACATTTGACATCAAGTACCTAATATACATGATGCAGACATATCCTCTCCTGGATCTACCTTAAATTAATATTTTATTTTGGGTATTTATCATTTCTTTCACTGGGAGAGAAGAAAAAACCCTTTGGCTATATCATCCTGGCTGGTGGGCTGTTTCAGCCAGGTAGATGCCTTCAAAGTCTTTTCTTTCTTTCATTCCAAAGAGCACATAGCTTCAGCTCAGCTTTTGCATTTACCACCTCTTGAATCACTAACTGTAGCTGCCAGGGTATGTTCACCTATCCTCCTAACCTTTCACTGGTTGAGCTGTCGGGAAAATTATAAACTACTGCTGTTTACATTTCTTTAGCTAAGCTGAATTTTGATGTAAAATATCAAAGCAGCTGCGTTCATTTCCAGCTGTGTCCAGTTAAAGCGTTGTTGTCAGTTTTCTTCTCAATGACATGAACTCAATTCTCTGACTTAAACGGTGGTGCAGAGATGTCATTTACAAAGGAGTTGTTTAAGTGTAATTTAGACAGTTTTGGGGCGCTGTCTAAGACAGGACAGTCTTTCAGCTGCCTATGAGTTGCAGTACTCTCTGGAATCTCCACAGCTCTACACAAAGAAGTTCCTGCAAAGACAACTGTCCAGCCATCTCAGTTTTTGTACTGGAGAATTGGTCCCCAGCCAGATTCAAGACTTTTGGAGCTCCTTTTCTTTGTTTGCTCTGGCCTTTGAACCTAGCATAAATGGAATGAGAAACTCATTCCTGAGGTTCAGCAAGGTTCAGTATACTGTCTGATGTCTTCCACAGAAACTAAAATGAGTGGTGGCCTCAGTTTTGTTTTTGATGGGGAAGTGCTGACATAGTACCAAACTATTATTTATAGTGTCTATTGCACTTTACTGTCGTTTTTTTGGTTGGCCAGTAACTGAAATAACGTACAGAATGGGCTTTCCTTTCATGTCAAGTTCAAGGTCCCTGTCTTAGAGGAATTTTATATCCAAGGTTCCCAGTTTTCTAATGTTAGAATTGAACACTATAAAAATCTTTCTGTAGCTTCTAGTACTACTTGGTTTTGATTTCACAAAATATTTTGCCTTTTTGGCAGGAGGCTGCAGTTCAGGTATTCTACATTAAGATTATATTTTATGTTTCTTTGCTTCATGGAAGGCTACAGCTCTAAGCAAATTTTGAACCATAGTTTATTGATGCGTAAAGTCTTATACTGCCAACTTCTTTTCTTCAAGGTCATTTATGTCAATCAATTAGACTAAAAAGAGTAGCTGTAGCTCTGTGAGACAAAAGTAGTGTTCTGCATTTACAAGTGCCTGTTCTGTTCGCTGTACAACACTTGCTTATGTATAAAATCTCCGAATTTGTAGTAGACTCACTAAAAATCAGTGCTGGAAAGGACCTCAAGAGGTCATCTAGTCCAACAGCTTGACAACAGCAATATCAGTAGCTACTGAGGGGTAGAGAATACTGCTCTCTGAAGTTTACATTAGGTTGTAAAGGGCTTATAGTTGGGGGGAAAGATACAGAACAAAGAGATGGTCTTGCACCTTTGTTTCCTTACATTATAGAAACCAGTGATTCTCAACCAGGGTGCCACAGCATGCTGGGGTGCTGCTTGTTACTTTGAAGGATGCTACAAGGTGTGAGGAGATAAGTGAGGTGTGAGGAGACAAGCAGATAAGAAGATTAACACAGGCTCAGTCTTGTCTCTTCCTGGCTGATCCCCCACCACTCTATCTAGCCTCTCTGCAAGGAGGTAAACACTGTAATATATAAACTAGATTTTGAAACTGGCTGCACTCAGTTCACAAAAGTTATGTGGGGTGCCTCAAGTCTAAAAAAGTTTGAAAACTGCTGATATAAACATTTTCATGTTCAAGCCATGGTAGTACACAGAGTAGTAAGGTTTACATTGGGTCCTTCAATTCTCTGTTCACGATGTGCATCTTATGTGACCAATTAATAGGAAATGCATTTAGATTTCTACTTTCTACACTTGTACCCTTCATGTCTGATGATACAATAGCTTCACAAAATTACTTTATAGTACATATAATGCATTTGTAATATATTAAAGTGAGTAATTTATTTGCCTTCACTTACAATAATGGATAGGCACTAAAGATGGCGTCAGTGGAAGGTCTATCATTGATTTTTGCTGGAGTATGGAGAAGATTCTACTTTAAGTATCTTTCACAGAATAATGATATGTTTACCGAGTAACTACAAATTGATTCCCTTTTAATTTATTTTGTTTTATTATGTGTTTAAAGGTGACCCTATTTATTCTTTGCTGAGATGGTGCCATAATTACAGTACCTTCCTATCTGCTTCAGACAGGAATTTGACTCTTGCTTTGCCTTTATGGCAAAGGTTGTCCCCAGCTGTAAATAAATACTTGGTCATTCAGGCTGGGATACTAAAGGCAGTATAATATGATGCTAGCTACATCTATTGGCTATACAAACTGGTGTGTCTTACCTATGTTGGCTCTGTGTGTTGAATGACTTAGCTGGGCTTTTGATTGTGATTTGATTGGTCATTCCTGCTCTACAGCTCTGTTACCATAATAACCATTATAGTGACACTACATTAAAGGGCCAAATTCTGGAATAGGGTACAAATATATCCAAGTGTAAATGTTCATGCTACAGGATTGTAAATACAGAGAAAGTACTATTCTGTAATTTAACTGAAATAAATGGAATTAGACTAGATCTACGCAATTTGTAAGAGAACAGAACCTGGCCCTGTGTAGACGGAGAGAATGACAATGTAAAAGGTACAGTTAGTATGAGGACATGAAAACTGTAACATTTTCTGAGACTTCAGGTTCTTGATTGGAAATGTTTGGATGGTCCAATAGTTAGGATGCCAGGACTTCCAAACTCATGAAATGCAGTTGAATTTCTTTACTAGAGATCTCCCATGGAAGAATTAATTTCTTTGTGCCTCAGTCTCTCCTCGGTGAAACTGGACGATAGTTCTTTCTTAGGATACAGAGGTGGGCTAAGGATAAGTACAATAAACAAATGTGTGGTGTTTAGATATTATGGGAATAGCATCTATGGAGGTGTCTAAAGTAGACAGAAATTTCGTTGGTTTTGTAGCTATGGATGTTAATATATATATATATATATATATATATATATATATAT